GTGAAAAGATTTAACATCTCATGTGCCTGCCTAAAGCAATTTTATTAAATGCAGGCACGCCATATAAAGTATGATCAGAGACATATATCTGATGCCATGTATGCATATATCTTTACCTATTTTCTTTATTTGGTTTTGTAATATGTTATACGTTATATAGATACAATAGATAAGCGTTGACTCTTGAAAAAGAAACCATGAGCCCGGAGGGCGAATGGTTTGTTTTTCATGAATCAACGCTTATCCATTGTATCTATAACTTAAACTATTGTGTTAATGTCTTTTCAAAATTAAAGCCTATTCTTAATTATAAGGTATTGTCAGTGAGTTTAAATAACCATGTTATCGTGTCCAACGATGCATTAATAAATCTAAGTACACAATAAATTGGTTAGAAATATACAAATATAACACAACACGTCTGCCTTTAAAGATCTTCATAGTATCAGGCATCTGAATATTATCTGATTTTACAAAATAAGACATATTCGAACTTATTTCGTATAAAATTGAGAATGGAAATGTGGAATGTGTCATAGGGACAACAAACCGACCAAAGAGCACATATAAAGTATATATATATAATAAATATTTCTAGCAAAAAGCCTAATTCTAGGCACATCACGATTTTCTCGCATAGGAATTTGCGAATAAATATTTGTAAAATTATGTAGTAATACAGATGAAATCATACTATATAAAATTATATAAAACAAAAATGGACAAATAGAATGTAATCATTTTCGTTTCAAATATGTGAAATAGCCAATAATAATCCAAAAATAAACGGTAAAACTCGCTATTATTACAATAATATCCACAATAACATACAAAACCAAAAAAAAAACAACATGAAAACTAGAGAAAAGAGACAAGAAAGAGAATACAGGGATTCGAACATAAACCGACAAGTCCCTACCTTTAATTCATTGATCTTAAGCATGTTAACCTCGTGGCTACCAACTTAAACTATACGATTGCCTATTATGTATATATAAAGGTACAAGCCCTGTGTGTCCGTTGTACCGATGTATATTATATGTTCATTTATGTGTATAAAATAGACATTTAAATTGTAACCAATTGGTAGCCGAGAGGTTTCGTCGATATGTTGATGTCAGTAACACATAACAGATTTCAAGGACGGGTTCGATTCCCAGTGAAGGCATATAGAAATTACAAAAATTAAAGGTAAGTTTTTAATTTAATTCCATTAGTGAACAGAAATCAGTATATTAGCCAATCCAAACTTAATGAAATTAGGCACACAAAGGAAACAATTGAATATAATTTGGTGAGTCCATTTCAGCGACGGATTTAGGAAGCGTTGATTCTAGAAAAAGAATCCACGGTAAATGAATAGGCTGACGTCACGACAATGGTTTAAATTGGAATAAACATATAGTAAGGAAATAATTTAACATGTGGAATCAGAGCATTCTGACGATTCATGTTCAAAATTTACTTATTATAATAGATTTTAATAGGTCAAGTGTTTGCCTCCAACATTAATGACATGCATATAAGGCGAATTAAAGGGGGGAGCGGGCCGGCATGCTGCGCGGACTTTAACAAATTCCACTCCTTATCATCTTATGTTTCATTTCTAGCCATCATGGGCCAGTTATTTAAACATTTTGGACCCGCATCTGTGCATGGCAGGTCTGTCTGCAAAATGCCCAATTCATGTTGACAGCAAAACGTGTAACAAATTAGCCCCCTTTTTAAGTAAACAATGCAGCTTTATCTACATTCATACTCAATCATCAATGAAATGAATGTCGACGAACCTTGGCAGTAGAAGGCTAAAATAATTTAAAACAAACTTACCTCAAAATATAAGCAACATCGTTCTATATTAACGTGTTTTTGTTGGACGGTTGACACTGACTCTATTATAACAAGGTGCCCGATCAGCTGTTCGTGACAAGCTCAAACTTGACGTCGACGAAACGTTCTAGCCAATCACGCGACGCATAGTTTAGAAAATGACGTCATATTTAGATTTCGATGCAATCATCGAAAATCAATGCCTAATTTTTTTAAAGTGCATTAACCTGCCTGCGCAATTTTGAATTGTGAACTGTCGGAAATTTGTTTTCCAATCAAACGATTTTAATAAAAAAAAAAGAGATTATCGTTGTGAATGTTCGTGTAATACTGACAGATGGACCTAGGTCATCAATTCTAATTATCTAAGATTACTAACCTTTCAAAACTTAAAAGTAAAGATCATTCATCCTTATTGTTCGGATTGATAAAGTATTTTCTATTCGTCGACATTATCTCATATAAATACTATGGATCTGATAATCGCTGTGCATAATTTAACGACAGGGGGAGTTTTCTTATCAAAGTAGTGACCTCCCTTGTCAATGTGATGATGTAATCAATCGTTTTATTTTTACCATCTTTATATGTTATTTCATTGTTTTATTTAAATTTGTGATTCATATATATTTTATTATAGATAAAAAAAAGGAAATTGAAAGTCTTTGATTCATTAATCACCTTAGTTCAAATCATAAGTCAGGCGGTCTATTCTGTCTACATTAGGTAGTAAATACACAGGGGTGTCAATGGCTATGAAAAAAGAAAGGAAAACAATGTACAACGTGAATCGAGAATTAAAGAAAACAAAATGCAGGAATTGAATCCAAATGTCGATTTTTGTCTTGTTTATTGAAAACAAAAACGAAAAACGAAAACACTTTTAATGTTCATTTTGGTATTTGAAAAATCAAAAACGAAAAATGTAAACACTTTCGTTTTCCGTTTTGGTTTGTGAGAAATAAAAAACGAAAATTGAAAACACTTATGTTTTTCGTTTTGTTTTTTTAAAAATCACCAAAAACGAAAAATGAAAGCTGTTTCGTTTTTCGTTTTTTTTATAACTCAAAACAAAAAAACGAATGGACGCAAATATACATGAACCATAAACGAAATTTTCTTGCAGCACTGTTTTCACTTCAAACAAATTGTCTTTTAAAAAATAAACAGAAGATACCATTTGTAACCTTCTTCTTGACGTGACAAAAACGTTACTTTAATACAGGCATTTCTATTCTTTCATCTTTATTGAATGTTAGATTGTCTCTGTGTGGCAGTTATATCAAGTGACAACAACCCTCGACCAAAGATCAGAAAACAGTCGACGGCCACCAATGGATCTTCAACACAGCTACAGCTGGCCCCTAAACATGTGTACTAGTTCAATCAAAATGGACGTCGAACTTAACTCCATAACATATAAATGAACTAAAATTAAAAAAACACAAAGACTAACAAAAGCCAGAGACTCCTGACTTGGGACAGGCGCAAAACTGGGGTGGGGCTAATTTTACCATAAACACATTTGCCAAGAGTGGAAGGGGGTTCCCGTAAGACTTAAAAGTTGTACTTTAAAAGAAAAATGTATCTATTAGCTATACAGCATCATTTGCTGTTCCTTTAAGCATTTTGTCAGCATAAAATTATTGTAAAAATGAAAACTTATACGTATTTTGTTTATCCTTTTATTTCAATTTTTGGTTATGTATTGTTGGGTGCAGACCAAGCATTACATAAAGTAAACGCACGTTAATGCTGCGTGCACATATTTCGTTAGTTAACTTCAATTTTCCCATTTACTTTAATTACGTTTACGCGGTCAAAATGGAAATTTCTAATGTCTACCCGAGTAAACGCGCCTTTACTCTTTGTCCGTTTAGTCAGTTGTAAACGGGCGTTTACTACAAATTTCACATGTGTATTTTTACGTGCACTTGAAAGTAAACGCGCGTTTACTTTTCGCGTTAACTCATTGTGTAAATTATCAAATAAACTTCGGGTACATTGTCATATCTTATCAGATAAAGCTATACGTACAATTTAGAATGTGTTGTTCATCTGTGTTAATATTTTTATTGAGATATATTGACATAAAGATTAAATAAAGGCAACAGTAGTATACCGCTGTTCGAAATTCATAAATCGATTGAGAAAAAAACAAATAGGGGTTACAAACTAAAACTCAGGGAAACACATCAAATATAAGAGGAGAACTACGACACAAAAGAAACACAACATTAAGATGTAACACACACAGAAACGAACTATAATATAACAATGGCCATTTTCCTGACTAGGTACAGGACATTTTAAGAAAACAATGGTGGGTTGAACCTGGTTTTGACACTTTACCACTTAAGGACGACAATTGGTTAGTTTGTAAATATCTAGTAATGTTGTCGATCATTTTGCTGTATAATTTCTTTTTTATATGTATAAAGTTTTCGAGCTATTTTTGCAAAACTTTTTTTTTTATGAAAAAACGTCATATAAGGGCAATAAATCGTATACACTGTTGATTCATTATTTGCTGGATTCTAATATTCGTAGAATATTTTTACAACTCTGTGTATATAAAAAAGAAGATGTGGTATGATTGCCAATGAGACAACTCTCCACAAAAGACCAAGTAACACAGAAACTAGTATCAAATTTCTGTAATTATCAAACAATGTCAATACTGGCTGGCCACACTACCTTTTCAAATTTCTTTAAACTTATTGTGTGTAGTCACACTACAATACAATTAATGTTTTCAATAAAAAAAAATAAAAAAAATGATGGGTTGCTATGGAAACGGTGTTATCTATTTTTCATACAATGGCCTCCTGAGAAAGAACACAAAAATTGCAATTCTGACCAATTTAATTGACATAATATAGTATAACATTTACAATAAAGTGGAATATGCTGTTATTTATCTTAAAGTACTGTATTTTAAGTTTCATATCATATAAAAAACTATTCATAATAATAATTCTGCATAATTCTAAACGACACTTTATTTATCCAAATTTTGGCATTTTACCAAATCAAGAAAATTCCCTTTTGGAGCCCATTTTGAATAGAATTTTTTTACCTTTGCACACTGATTTGAAATTAAACTAATGATAGTATATGTAGAAGATATATAGTTGGATTTAACCCTCCCCCCCCCCCCCCAAACAAATTGTGGGAAATTCCCAGACCTTTATGTACTTAAATCCTAAAAAATGACAAAAAATTGCAAAATATGCATATTTCCATGGAAATGGTAGTTCATTTCAAATTGCTTGACATTGTCTCTTGGCAAAATATTTTACTAAACAATCAACAAAAATAAAGATACTCCGCCACATTATGTAAAGGTTAAATAATTTTCCAGTTTTCATCTAGAAACCGTAAAAAAAAGGGGGGTGCAAAAACTTGAAAATAGCATAATTCATAAAATTTTTGTTGGATTTAGATTAAAATTGAGCTAGACCTTTGTTTGTAGTACTGAAGCACTGTGTAAAGTTTTAAATAAAAGGTTTATCTGATTTCCAGTTGTCATCTGGAAACTCAAAAAAAGGGGGGATCAGATGGCAAAAACTTGAAAATATCATAACTCATAAACCTTTTGTTGGATTTAGCTGAAATTGAACTTGACCTGTGGTTTATAGGATTAAAACACTGTGTAAAGTATGTAAAACATTAGTTGATTGGTTCTCAAGTTATCATCTGGAATCATCAGGGACTGACAGACAAGCCAGACGGACGGACACACACAAATTTGGAGGGTATCACATAATACCTCGCCAATACGTGTGGAGGGGTATTAAAATAAAAGAGTTGTGTACATTTCAGAATCTTATCAGAAAAAAAATGTATATTCCCTCACAATTTTTTCAGCATCATATTGCCATCACCTTGCCTGAAACGTCCTATAAAATGCTATATGGGAATGTGCCAAAAAATTTGGTTTACATTTTTGGGAAAATTATATAAGAAAGGGTATACATTTTTGAAAGTTTTGCAAATAATAATAATATATAAAGTTGGGTCTTGATTTTTGCATTTTCAAGGAAATATAGATATATTTATGTAAAATTAACCTGAATTTAAGTTTGTCTTTGTCTAAAAACATATGTCTCCCCCCGTTCTGCAAACTAATCTGAGCAGAAATAATAGCTATGCTGATGCAGTCAAAGGGGCATAACTCCTACAAAAAAAGGGTGATAAAAAATTCCCGGTAGTATGCACAACTGCATATGATGTCCTTGCTACATACCAAGTTTCGTCAACTTCGGTTCAGTAGTTTAAGAGGAGTTGTGCTGACAAACTAATTAATGATGATTTTTGGCAAATTTCTAAGTTCAAAGGGGCATAACTCCAACAGAAATTAGCGGATCAAAATTCCCGGTAGTATGCACAACTATATATGATTTCCTTGCTACATACCAAGTTTCCTATTCGGTTCAGTAGTTTAAGAGGAGTTGCGCTGACAAACTAGTTTAAGACTATTTTTGACAAATTTCTAAGTTCAAAGGGGCATAACTTCCACAAAAATTAGCAGATCAAATATTTATGTTAACATGCACTACATATGGTGTCCTTGCTACATACCAAGTTTCATCATAAAATTCGGTTCAGTAGTTTAAGAGGAGTTGCGCTGAGAAACTTTGTGACGGACAGACGAATAAGCCAAAAACAATATGTCTCCCCACAAAATACATAATATATAAATTTCGGGGTTAAGTTTTTTTTTATCTTTCAGTGCCACTTCCCTGCCCAGAAATCAAGGTAGTTAGCCTACCAGGGGTATGTCATGATCAAGGTTGTGTATTTGATGCATAGGTGTTATAAAAGATATACTGGCAATTCAGAAATTATTGGGATGTTTTATTAATGCGAAAAATGTATAAAATGTCAGAATCAGGTTTGCAATAACCTAAATTCGCATTGACATTTTCAGTGGCGATTTTCCTTCACAAAAAAAAAATTCAATCGCATTAATAAGAGATCACTGGTCAGGGATATGCAATAATAAATACACTAATTACTTTCTGAATTTACAGTTAATAGAAATATTAAAAAAAATAAGTATTCCAAAAATACTTATAAAACACAGATATTTCACTATGAACTTGTTCATCTTATTCTAAAATTAAAGAGAACATTCTTTCAAAACGTTCCTTTTCAAAACCGAACATTAACTGTCTGCAGTTGCAGCTATTAAATCTGTTTCATCTATCTTCTTTTCTATTTGCACAAGTCTTGAGAAATAGCTAGATACTTGTTGTGATGTTAGATATTGAGATCTAGAGAACCTGTTTTCTCCATTTTTTAAGGCATATCGCATCTCCTCACTACTTTTGATGGATCCTCTTTTCTTCCAGTTGTTTTCCCAATCATAAATTTTTCATGCAAGTAAGCCTTTTGGTCTTGTGTGAAAATTGTTTTTGGTTTGTTCACTTTTAATGCCCATCCTTTGTTTAGTTTGTCAGTAGCAGTGTTGTTGTTGTTGGCAGGTTGTTTTGTAAATGACACTCCTAAATTCCCATCTTCCAATTTTTGAGCATATAAAACCTTTGTTCTATCTGCAAGGCTAAGTTTTTCTTCCTTTATATTACAGTAACCCAACAGGATGTGGTAATCTAATGAGGATGAATGTTGAAAAGAACGTGTACATCCTTCTTCAGGACAAGTAAAGATTTTTGCTATTGTCCGTCTCTTCTTAAGAACTGGCTCTGTAGTTGTTGTATCTTTATCATAATTATCATTTTGTGTATCTTTATCATTCTCATCATTATCACCATCATCATCTTCTACAAAACATTAATAGAAAATTCAGTGTTTTGTTATACTAAACAAAACAAAGTTTGGAGAAATATGACCAATTCATATGATGGAAAGTCATCATGCAAAATATGAATGAAATCCATCATAGTATAACATAAGAGTTCTCTATACAAGACCTTGTAAGGATTGTGCCATATAATGGTTGTGAAGGTGTGAGCTTTTGCTCCATGTTGAAGGCTTAACTCTGATACGAAGAACAACAATAAAAGTAATGTATGTACATGGATTTTGTATCATGAATTTATACATTATATCTCTTCTTTCATTGTATCTTTTGAAACTTATTTCACAAAGAAAAACAAATTGTTACATATACACTGTTCTTTCAATCTGATAAAACATAACTACCTCTGTCAACAACTTCTGAACCCACTGTAGCAAACTGGGAATAAGACCAATCATGATGAACAAAAATCTGTATCACAGGAATTTTCTTATCAATAATGCTGTTCCATGATATCAACTTTTCTAAAATGTAAAATATAAGCAAATATATTATTTCTTATAAATTAATTAAAAGGGATCTTGTATGGATGCTAATATCAATATACTGAAGTACATACATGTATATATAGAAACTGTGAATTACAACTGATTATTGTATAAATCGTGAAGATTCATGCATATAGCAAAAATTCTCTAGTTGTGAATTTATAACAGATAAATTCTGAAGGTCAAATGACATAACCCGCAGTTTTTTCTTTCTTTCTGGTCACCTGGAGTATCAAAAATAGATAATCTTTCTTCACTTATATTATTTATGCAAACCATTTTGGTTATGATTTTGTAAATTTGGTCAAGAGATATCACATTGTAACAAGATACATGTACCATTACAGATTAACAAAATAACATTATGATGGGAGAGGCAACATATTATCGTTCACTTAAACTATAATCTAGAAACATTTATGTGGGTAGCAGAAATTGATACAGTTAAATATCATAGAAGAAGGAAGCTTTCTTCCATTCTCAGGTTTAATGAAATATTTTTGAGAAATGTTAACAATGATATCCAAAGTGACTAAAATGGGTCCTCAAGCTACAGTTGAGCTGATAAATAAATCATAAAATTATATTACCTTGACCAATATCATAAGCTCTCCAAACTTGCAATCCATTATCGGTAAACTTAAAATTGTGTAGCATAGAAATCAATTGAATACTTCTCAGTGAGACCTTTTCATCATCAGCATTAATAACAGCACTTATAACTTTCACCCTGTACTGGCCTCTTTGTTGCGAATCAATTGCCTTAAAAAAAATGATAAAAGAAATAAGATGATAATTTGGCATGCACTTGATAGGTAAAATACATTTTTGGCAATGATGAAATTTGTCGGGACCCCACAACGGGTGCCGTTGACGGAGCAGGAACTGCTTACCTTTCCGGAGCACCTGGGTTCACTCCTGGTTATTATAGGAGTTGTCCATGTTTTTTAGTTTTCAATGTTTCTTGTGTTATTTTCTGTCGTTGTGTGTTTGTGTTCCCGTGTATGTATGTCTGTCTTTGTTGATTGCTCCCTAGGTATTTTTGTCATTATTTGTTAATGAATCAAATTGAATGAAACTAACCTGTATTTGTTTTTACTTTTGTGTAAAAGAATTGTCTTAGCACTTTTTGTATCAAAACACTTCCAAGATGAAATAATGAGATACTAGTACAATTTAATTTTTATGATTTTTGGAGTTTTAACGCCACTTTTAAGCACCGTTTTTGTGCTATTTCGTGGCGGCCAGTTTTTATTGGTGGAGGAAGCCGGAGTGCCCGGAGAAAACCATACCTTCGATAGGAAACCTGACAATCCTAGTCAATTAAGATTGGAGTCGAGTGCACCCGCACGAGCGGGGTTCGAACTCACAACCTCAGTGTTCATACGTATACTGCAATACATATGAGAAACTCATTGAAAACAAGTGTGGACACAGACCAGCATGGATAGTATCCAGCATTCTGAGAGTATTGCATGGTAATACATAGTCCCCTACCATTCAAAATTCGAACTGTATGTGTAAATTGTCATGTTAAAACTATAGATACCAAATTTCAAATCAATATAACGGTATTCATGACTAAAACAAAAATGCAGAAAATTGAATAATTGTGTGATTTTTCTAGGTCTTAGGATCATATAACTCTGCCAAATATTATCAGATCAGCAAAAAAAATTAAACTTGATCTGTAACGTGTAATGGTGAAACTATAAACCAAATATCAAATCGAAATCTTAAAGTACGGCAAAAAACTAGTGGAAAATGTATTTCTTGCATGAATTTTCTAAGTCCAAGGGACATAAGTCTGCAAAAAATCATCAGACCGGAACACAATTCGCACTAGATCTGTAACTTGTCATGGTTTAACTATATGCCAAATTTCAAGTTAATATCTTCAGGCATTAAAAAACAAAATGTGGAAAACCAATTATTTGAGTGAATTGTTCAAGTCCAAGGACCATAACTCTGCAAAAAAATCATCAGACCGGAACAAAATTCAAACTTGATCTATAACTTGTTATGGTTAAACTATATGGCAAATATAAAGTCAATTCCTTCAAGCATGACGAAAACAAGTGCGGAAAACATTACTTATGTGATTTTTCTAAGTCCAAGGGCCATAACTCTGCAAAAAATCATCCGACCGGAACAAAATTAGAACTTAATCTAAAACTTGTCACGGTTATACTATATACCAAATATCAAACCAATATCTTCAAGCATGACAAAAAATAGTGTGGAAATCTGATTTGCCGGACAGACGGACTGACGGATGGACGGACGGACAGAGTACAAACCTAAAGTCCCCTTCAACTTCGTTGGTAGGGGACTAAAAATTAAAAAGTTGAATAATTCAATTTTTCTAGGATTAAACTTTGACTATAATTGCATATCAAATATTCTTAAACTCATTGCCATCAATATAATTAACATACCAGTTTCATTTGGTCTGCAGTTGTCACATTATTGCCCTCGTTTACATGTCTTTTTATTGCTGACTTGATATGGGATGCCTTCCTGTCACATGGGCCCTTCCCATCCTGAGCCTCACAAAATTGTAGATTTTATTTTCTTGCCTCGCTCTTGATGTAAAGTGGCTATGGTCAAGGTACTTTTTTAGCAACCAGCATTATCTGACCATATGTTGACCTTTTTGACAGATGGAATATTTTTAACCACATCGACAAGAATAGCTCCAGTTGTAGCTGCATCTTGAGGGGTGGGTTGTTCAAATATATGCACATGTGTACGAAAAATCACACTTCCCTCTGCTTTTAACATAGAAAATGTGATGTGCCAATTAATGCCTCTCTTTCCAAACCAATCTGTCTGGCCCTCTCTAAATTTTCGCGGTAAAAATTTCATGGCCCAGTCAGCTACCACGAAAGCCTCATTTTCCCCGAGACAGTTCACAACAGCTTGTCTTGCCTTTTCTTGATTTTTTGATCGAAGGATATGACTCTTCCATTCATAAATATCAGCTACTGCTTTTTCCACCTAAAACAAAAAACTTTTTGAACTTTTTTTTGTATATTAGAACAAAATACAATAAAACTTATGCTAATGTTCAAGTTCATATTCACCTCATTCTCACAATTATATCTAGAATTTAAGAAAACCAGTGAAATGTGAGATGTAGGTCAAATTTACATTTTTTGGAAGGATGCTATCAGACTCTCGGTGATGCATCTCCTATGCCAAGTCGCATACATGTAACTGTTATTCATTTAGGACTTGAGAAAAGAACTGTGATCTATCTACATTGAAACCAAAAACGATGAGGAATGAAATTTGATAAGATGTTGTCTCTATCCAAAATGCATCTCCATACCAAATTACATCTGTATTCGTCACACAGTACCTTAGAAATGAACTAGGACATAAAGTTTTACCAGAATTTAAAAATACCTTAAAGAGCACAGCTTCAGGATTATCCTAGTGTCTTTCAATTGCACTCTTCAAAATAAAAGATAATGTTTCATCAACAAAACAACACTGTAGGCATTCATCAGTATGTGAATGGTCATCACATTTTTGGCAGAAGGGTCCTTTTTCTTCACTCAAAGCATATGAACAACAGTGGTCTGCTATGGATGATGATCTATTTACATGTAGCTGAAAAAAGAACATAGTTGATTCAATCTTTGGATTGGCTTCTGAGAAGATATATATATATATATAGAATAATGGTTGTTTTGAAGGTCATATTCCTATATACCCCCATAAACTTTGTTTTGAGGAAGGGGGATAACGAAAGTACTGTATCTGACCCTTTTTGGCCCTTTTTCAGAAACATGTGAAGCCAGAATCCCAAATTAAAAAAAATAGCCAAAGTAATATGCCAATAAAATGTGTAAACATTTCATAAGGCTCTGTAAACTACCCAAATTAGACACAAAACCATTAATTCTATGGATGGATAACAGACCCATAACCTTATAACAATGTACAATCACAAAATATTTTGAAGTCGTATGAAAAAAGGAATATAAAAACTAATAAAAACCTTAAAATCTGTTTTCAAGTAATGCTTTGCTACCACCAAATTATCTAGTGTTTTCTGCTTTTCATCCAAGGTTAAATCTAACTGTTCTACAGTTTCTGTCAGATCTGTAAATGCTCGACTTCCCTCGGAAATGTAGTAGTCAAGACCCTCCATAGACTGTCTGACTGAAGCGCTGCAGTCGGTCAAAATCTTGTACATAGTACTTGTGCCTGCAAATGAAATTAAAATTGTTTAAGACGGAAGGTCTTTTGGCCCTAAAAATAACACCAATCTTTTACAATATTTAACATGTCAAGTGTATGTATGAAATGAACATAAACATGAAATGAAGCCTGTTTTGTACTAGTCGGACACGCTGAACCGGATCTTTAACGTGCTATCACACAAGGTAACAGTCCGCAGGAAGACATGCCACCCCCAAGGCGAGCATGCTACCACATCGAGGCGGTTAAAAATAGAACGTTTGTGCACATAATATTTCAAGGTAATGAAATGGGATTAACCGGAAAACCTCAAATTTTGTAAACAAAATGGCTGACGTCACCAGCGAACATCCTTAATTCATAAAATTCAAACTGTTTAAGCAAAATTGTATTCCAAATGTAATAAATACCTAAAGGCTGAATGTTTTCATCCTCACATAGCTGTGTATACTGCCTGATGATTGTTGCAGGGGCAATACTTCTGATTACATTTGGTGTTTGAATGAGTTCTCCAGTTGAAAGCTGTAATGTTTTTTCTTCAATTGGTAAATCTTTGATCAAGTGGTTTGAAGTAATGAAGTCTAAAAAATGGTCAAGCTGTCCATCATTTATTTTCGAACGAGGAATCTTTGATGTTTGTGCAGGAACACCTAAACCAATATTTTGTGCATGCTTCTTAGCAGAATAAAACTTGTAGTGAGATAATCCTGGTATACTGGCACTGACTTCTGCAAAACTGTAATCATTTGTTGCTATTGATAATAACTGTCTCCTCAATGTTGAGGTGTTTGCAACCATGTATGATCTGACAATAGCATCTAACAAAGAGCTTGTGGTTTTATTTTTGTCATTTTGTTGCTCTCCAAATAGAGTCTTTTTGATGAACTCAGAATCATCAGGACAAATAGTGTTCAGTAGAGCAGTTATACAAGTATTTGCTTTTGATAGATATCGTCTCTTTGTTCTCTCACTTGACTTCTCTAAAGATTCAGTTAGACACTTTACAGGGCTTATGTCACATGCTTCCAAGAATTCATTAAATTTTCCAAGTCTATCAATTCTGATAACGGATGCTTCTGTACCCTGACTATTAGTATTGCAGCAACTTTCAGTTTCAAAATAACTGGTTGTTTCCTGACTTGATGATGTGGAAGCATGTACAGCAAACTGAAAATAAATGTTATTTTAAAAATATAACTGAAAATTCATAAATTAATGTGTGCATTTATTATTGTGAATCCCTGATTACTGACAAAAATTTTTATATGCTATATTTATTAAATGGGATTTGGAAAACCACTACTGAAATAACAAATGCAAGCGATTCTCACTATAAAGCTTGTATATAAATTTGAAGTCAATTAATATACAAATAAAAAAGCTAGAATATTTACAAATGAAATTCATTAAAAAAATCAATCAAAGGGCAATAACTCCTATAAAAATAGGGATTTTCCCAAATTTGAACTTGGCCAAGAGATTCTCACTATAACGCTTGTTTATAAATTTGAGGTCAACCGGTCAAAAAATAAAAATT